TGCAAGATCTATTTGAGCCTCTCGCCCGCAGCATCCCGTCGCACCCGCAGCAGCACACTGTAGCACACGCTTCCCCAAAGGGAGGCGTCTCGAGGTGTGGGAAAGTATATTGGTCGCTTGAGCAATACCTTCGTCAACATGCAACAGGCCCAAGTCGCAGCCAACACACAGACTCTCTGGTTCGAAATGTGCTGTCTCAGGCCATCGTTTCTCTGAGAGACGTCGCGGCGCTCCTGAATCAAACCTGCCAGAGGTCACAGCGACAAGAGGCACGCGGAGTGAGCTTAAGGCCGCCGGGTGGCGGCCGGCCTTGGCTTGGGATGCAAAGCTTCAGAACTTTTCAGGCTAAGGCTTAATCCGAAAAAGGGGTACTTCGCCATCGACTGACGGCAGGCAGCGCGCCTCAGCAAACTCCGGAGCTACAAAAGCCGGCCTGGGACGCTCAGCGGCATCCTGCGCTTCCAAGACAACCTCTGCTTCATGCGGCCCGAGCACTTCAAGGCAAGCGTTTGCCCATGTTTGCCCCAGAGAGCCTGAAAAACCAGACAAACGCTCAATGAGCCCCCGCGAGGTGGGCTCGACCTTCTCGGAACTTCGGCTTCGCAAAGGCACCTTCACACATAGACACAGACGTTCTGGTGCGTTCAAGTAAACCTTTCACGTGCACAGGCTGCTGCTTGCCACTCGGGCACGGACCTTGTTCTCTGCCTCCGTGAAGTCGTTTTCGAGAGACACCGAAGCCACTCACCGAGGCGTGCAATCCATGTATCGGCAAGGAACGAGCTTCTGCCCAATTTGTTTGATGCTTTAGTTGTTTGCCTGCTGTGAGGCTGTGAGATCCCGGTAGCTTAACTTTCATTGGACCCTGCAACGGCTTGTTGGAGCGAGTATTTTGAGCTTGGCAACATCGGCGCATGTCGGGGAGGTGCATGCTCTTTCCGAAGCGTTCCAAGCAGAATCATAAACCTATTACGAAGCTCTGAGCTTTTGTACTTGATTTGCAGTCAAAGGTTCTTGGGCAACTCCGAGACTCAACGGGGTACGAACATGAAAGTCGCCAAAGCCAAAGCAGGCATGGTCGTCCGTCATGTAGTGTGCCGTATGATGCCAAAACATGATCTGCAACGTGAGCAACAGGATCGTTTGCATTGCCGCCGGCGTGTCGTGACAAGTGCGTTGCTTTCTAGCGCCTTCGTGCAAATCTAACCATCAGTCAGCTTCCGGACACGAGGTTTGGAGTTAACGATATTGTTCCTCGAAGTGCCTTCTGCACAAGTGGTTCAGAGCATGCGGGACTTGGCATCTCTGCCATGGGGAATGCTTCGCATTGACATTTCCTGACACCACGGCAGCTGATGCAGACAAGGCGGTGCACGAGTCAAAAGGCACCGGTGCGTTTCGCAGCTGGCACCGAAGCTTTGCGGCCTGTAGGGTCGTGTATCTAGTCACATGATTTTCGCTTTTATGGTACTTTGCATGCACTCAGACTACCTCAGACTCATGTGTTTCACATTCGGAGCCTACCGACTCCAGAGGAGTGTTTGAGGAAGCAAACAGGCCTTTCTCAAGGACCCCCGGACATGCCTCCTTGCGCTTTCCAGGGCCGATGGAAACACCTCAAGTGAAGTCCCCATTCGAGGAACCGTGCGACACTCGACAATGCCACTGCTTCCGCTTGCGGACTGTACGGAGCGATTTCGCGTCAACTCCCTAACTCCCAGAACTGAACCTCGCACTCGGGAAAACAGCTGTGTTGATTGCCGCGATGCTCTCCGCAATGGTCCTTCTCGTCGTGAATGATAAATTTAAGTACACTTTGGAATTTCATTGTTTCAGCTCCTCTCCGTGGGCATGGTCAACTGCGGTGGCGTGAAGCAGTGTCGGCTGGAGTTCTGATTGCAAGGGGCTCATGAAAAACAACATTGAGGAATGTTGAGGAAATGTGAGCCACTGGTTCAAACATCAATGACGGTTCGGGGACTACGCCCGGCGTTGACTTTGGAGCTTTGAGCTTTGGGTGATTCTTCAACCTGTGCAGCACGAGCAAAGTTGGTGTATGTGAGAGCCTGCGTGTGTGGACTTACTTTGGAAGCATCAATTTCGCCCGGGGCAAAAACGTTGCGAAAGGACACACTACTCCATCCCACGGTTGTCCTGGTTGGTGCAGAAGACGTGCTCCTCATCGGGTTGGGTCCCGTTTTGATGCTTCAGTTGTTGCATGGGGCTGCTTGTATGTGCAATGCACATCACAAACGACTTCTTGGTGGACCTCAGATTATCAGTCCGTCAGTGCATGTTGCGTGGTTTGCAACGTCTTGCGGCTCCGAGTCCCGAGGCGTGTCTTGCGGAGTTTTCTTGGCCTGGCTGCGCAGGCAGTGCTTTTGAATTTGGAGGCATGTGACTGCACCGACGCTGAGCGCTGTTAGGTCATCCTCCCCACCGGCCAGAGCCTGACCGCCGCCCCCGTAAGGCCGTAAGATTTCGCATTCGGAATGCATCTGCCATTCCCTCGCTCTCCGAGGTCCGCTGGGCGAGGAAGCATCGCTGAAGACACCTTCGGTGCTGGTCCCACCGGGAGCCTCCCTCGGCGGAAAGAGAGCAAGTCTGAGAAATGATGACTCGGTTTGTGCACCAGGCCTGACACTGAAGATGCTTCCCACTGTGCCTGTTACTTTCGGAACTGGGCCCTCGACCGTGGAGCAGCTCCTTGGAAACAGACTCTCTCCGGTTGACGGGCAGGCGTAATTTGCTCAGTGATTTCGATTCGGAGCGCCTGGCCTGGCCCCTGGCCCCTAGGCTAAGTTTCACCGGCGCACCTCTGGAGCTCTGCGAAGCACTGCTGGCGGCCGTGGGACTGGACAATCGCGAGCCCCAAAGCCTGGGCCCGGGGTCCTCCCAGGCCGATACGGTAGTGGCACAGGGGCCGGGGAGCTGTGCCCTTCAGCTTTTTGCTTCTTTGGGGTGATTCCTGGCGAACCTTTTCGATTCTCGATGCTTCCGTCCTCCGAAACTGCATGCTTGAAGGTCTTCTCCATTTGCCGGGCGCTGCTGGTCGACCCGGACGTGCCGTGACCCGAGCCAAGCGAACCAGAAGCACAGCGCCGTGACACTCTGTAGACGAGGCTCTGTGCCTTCCGGCCCCTGGCTCTGGTGCCTCAGCCGATACGGAAATGCCTTGCCATCGTGCTTCCTTGATATGCATTTGCATGGTATGGTTGTGTGCCCCCCCTACACTTTCATGAAGTGCGGCGAGGTATCGGAGAGGAGCGGCATGACAGTCTATCTTGGAAAAGCGAGTCTGCCAATTTTTGAGCACAGAAGACAGAGAAAGAAACACAGCAGTGATCGAAGCTGGTTCGAGCTTGTGGCATGTCGTTGGACAATTTCCAGGAAACCGCAGGTATGTGGGGGCACGTTTATGCGTCTGTGGGTACTCGCATGCACGAGGCCAGCTACTACTGAGGCAAACGAGCAGGCACGGAAGAACTGAGAATGCAGAGAAGGAAAGAGGAGAATCTCACGAAGATGCCACACAACCCCTACAAAACACGATAGCAGAACTGCAGTTCTGAAATCTGTTGAAGCTCCAGGTGCCGTTGGATGTGAAGCCTCAGATTGTCGTGCCCTTGATTTCAGTCCTTTCTGCCCGGTGGCCAATCTCAGCACTCTGAGGCTACTCTGCTCCGACTTTGGCAAGGAGGAGGAGCCGCGGACGCCGAGCGAAGCTGCGCACCTCGCAGTACAAACGACAGAGACTTGCGTCGATGGAGGAGGTTTGCCTGGCATCGCGGCTGCTCTGGGCTTCGCCATGAACAGCGAGGTCCATCGACCTAAGGCCGCGCCGCAGCTATCCACAGTGCTGAGTGCTGTGTCTCTCGCCGCTGCTCATCCCCTCTCCCTCGCAGTCGCTCTCAGGCTCGGACTTTGATTCTCGGCAACTCCGCAGGCGCCCTTTGCCGGACGCCCCATTGCGCTCGCGCTCTCGCTTTGCTAGGCGACCTGCCCAAGCTTCCGGCGCTGGTGCTCGCCTTGAGCACCGTGACACCCCCGCGCCGAACCCGTGTGCCCTTCCCAGGATGAGCATCTCGATTTGGATGCAATTCTCTGGTGTCGGGGCCCCTTTGTCCAAGCGCGGCTGAGAGCGGATGCGCAGCTCCGCAGGTGACGAGTTCTCTCCGAGAGCCAGGCACGGGCATGGCGCTAGGCCCAGGCAACTAGCCGATGGCGACTGCCAGGGCCGTGGAGTCCGAGTCTGTGCCTTCGCCTCGATCGAGCCAGAGCCGCCGCCAGGCCGGGCCTGACATCCGAAATGTCCCACGTCGACACTCGTCAAGTCTCGTCAACTTGGTCCCGCAACCGCACATTGGAAGCCCATACATCAGGCGCCTGGCTCATGCGTAACAGCACGTCAACCTTTGCAGATACCTTTTGTACCCACCAGCATCCCTCTCTTCACTCACTCAGCTCTCAGTCGACAGTGAGAAGGCATGTCTTGTCCCTCTGGGAACAGTCAAGCAGCCAAGCAGCAGTCGGCTGGGGCGGCAGAGGCCGCTGTGGCGGATCCTGGAAGGCGTTTTGCCCGCTCTTACGAACTCTCGCGCTCGCGGGCGCTCACCTGCTCTTCGTTTTGGCCGTTCGGTGTTTCCGGCGTTTCCCATGAGCTTGCCGCTGACAGCGCCACCGCCGCGAGCTGTGGTCGCTGATTTTCCCAGGCTTTCCTGACGGACTGGTGCTGGATCAAAGGATCTAATTCAGACTAACCTGTCCAAGCCTCCTTCGCAGGTCCTTTCTCCGACGGGATGCTGTTTGGGGCGGAGTCTCAGGTGCCCCCGAGACACTGTTGCCACCAGTAGTACTGCAAACCAGCAAATGCAAAAGGCTTCCTTGACGGCACTTCCGCGCTGTCCGGAGATGCCGGCAGACAGAAAAGAGCCCGGGTGAGAAGTTTGGCGCGCCTCCTTAGTTGGCGTCTTCTCCGAGAGAGAGTCGGCTCCGGCCAGGCCAAGACCAAAGCTGACGGCGGCAGCGGGTCTCGACAGAGGCCTTTCAGTGAACTCCCGATCGGATCGATCGAGATCCGGAGTTCTCTTGGTCCCCAGAGAAAAATCCGCGAATCCACAGAAGGAAGCGACTTGTCAGCGGATCTTCGTCCTATTCCTTTCTGCCCTGGTTCAAGCAGACAAGCACCCGCCACCCGAAGTGCAAGAATGGCCTTCAGCATGGCACAGGTGCTCTCAGCTGCGCTCATGCCATGTTGCTTTAGGCCTGGGACTGCACCTGACAGGCTCGACGGCAGTGGTGAGCGCCAATGTGGACAAGGAACACCCCCGGCCCCCCAATCCTGTCTTAGCCCTAGGCCTAGGCAGCTCGGCAGCTGGGCAGCGCAAGCTTCAGTGTTGGCCGCCGCTTTGCTTGGCAGCTCCTCGGTTTCCGAGTTCGCCTTGCGTCTGGATTCGGAACGAGCCCGGCGAGGCTTGCTCTTTGGCACGGAGTTTGCCCGGCAAGGCAAAGAGCTCGCAGCCTGCGGCTATGCGGATCTTTGCAGGCAGAGCTTCTGCCATGTCAGCGGCAAGTTCTGGAACGGTACTTGGCGGTTTGACCGCAGATTGGTCCCTGAGAGATCTGGACATGAGACAGCCTCAGCCTTCAATACTTCAATATCTCTTCTGCAAGAGTGCCTTCGGTCCTTCAAGACCAGCCTCAAGGCTTGCCTGTCCTGTCGATGCACTGAGTTCACGGCAGAGCTTGCTGGACCTCCAGGAGACGTGGCTTTTGGGCTTCGTGCACTGGCAGAAGCCACGATTCGCTCAAGTTCGGGCGACTTCCGGCCTTGGCACCCGCATCTTGCTGGCGCCGCTCGGCAAGCGAGCAGCCAGTTTTCCGACTGCTCGAATTGACAACTGCAACGGTTTCAAGATCGCGTTGTGGAACCGATGGGATATCACTGCTTAGGAAGCCCCTGCCAACACTGTCCAAAAGAACAACTATGGACTATGTGAAAATTGACTCATCCTGGAAGATCTCCTGGAAAAATTCATCGCATTCACCGAATTCAATGCCAGCAAAGCCCGAGCCGACAGAGCCGACAGAGCCGACAGCCGAGGACAGGAGCAGAAGATGCATTGCAAAGAGGATCTAAATGATTTATGAAGCTATAAATATCTACCTGGACCCTCAAGTTGGGGTGCCTAATCACTACCATTTATGTCTTATTGGGTGCCCATTATCCACCCCTTTGAGGGTGCCGGTATGAATTATAAATGAATATCCATCTAATCTAATTACATGTACTACATTGTGATATTGCACTAGAACCTAATCAGTCCCTCACTCTCTTCTCTCTACAGTTGGAATCACCATGAATCATCTATCTACCTGGCTCAAGCGTTTTTAGAGTTTCAATCTCACTGAAACATCAGCCGCTCATCAGCCCTTGTGGAATGGCCAAGTTTGACGTTCAGAAGAAGAACATGTGCAAAGCTGCCATCACTGGTTCTACAGGTTGGGAAGACAAGGAGACAAAGGTCTTGAAGACATTTCAGGCCTGGGACACAGATGGGAACGGCTACATTTCAAAGGAAGAGATGACACGTGTTCTGTCTGAGCTATGTTCAGCATCTTCCGGGGAAGTTGAGGAAATGTTGGCGAACGCTGACATCGACCAAGATGGAAACTAGGTGGTTGTCAGTGATATTTTTTGACTTTTCACCCTTGAAAATTGGGAAATTGGGGAATTGTCCTTACCATTTTGACTGGCATATTTTTCGGGGGTTGGATCCACCTAGGAAAGATTGACTATGAGGAGTTGGTCCATTGGATTTGCAGAGCTCCATACTTGGAGAAATACTTCCAAGCCTCGCATGACGTCTTCTTTTTCAACATCCGGAATATGGACTCAGACTTGGAAGGTTTGGAAGAGGTGAGAGATTTGATTGAAGGATCACTCCATGATCCCAAAGAGCGATTGAAAAACATCGGAAACTAGGTGATGGTTTAAGTGATATTTTTTATTTTCACCTTTGGGGAAGAGAACACCGTTTTGAGTGGCATATTTTTCGGTTTTTCAACCACCAGGAAAGGTGATGGAAGTTTTTTCGGCATGTGCCCAGAAGGCACAGGGCCGAATTGATGCGCAGCTGACCCCTTTGATCAAGTTGACTTTCGCCTACCATGATAAAGATGACAGCGGTACGCTGAGCTATGACGAGAGCATCATCTTCTTTGCCAACTTTGCTGCACTCTGTGATCCATACATGGACTGCATTTCACTCATGGGCGCGGGTGCCAGCCCTACCCTGGAGTGGGGTGAGGATGGGATCCCCAAACCCAAGAAGCTACTTGGCCTGGCGCCGGGTTTAGAGGTTTAGGGGTTTAGGGTTTAGGGGTTTAGGGTTTAGGGGTTTAGGGGTTTAGGGTTTAGGGGTTTAGGGTTTGGGGTTTAGGTGACTGGCTAAATTTTTTGAGATGAATTTAGTGGGAAAATAAAAGTTAACAAACTTCAACATTTCAGGGTCCTAACTGGCCAAGCGAGGCTATGGGAAGAATTCAAACGCAAATATTCCAGGTTGAAAGGTCAGCAGTTGAAGAACATCGACCAACATCACCAAAGCGCCTTCGAGTTGCTGAGCAATGGCACGGGGAAAATCCAAGAGGCCGACTTGATCGAAGCCTTGCTTCCCGGGCACAAAAAGAACCGACAGTTCATGGAAGCCTTGGGTTTGGCGGTCATACTGGATGCCAAAATGGACAAGGGTATGACTGACGAGGAGGCTGGTGGAAAGATTGATGCAATAGAAGCTGAACTCAAAGAAATGCAGGCTGGGATGGATGCAATGGAGACGAAACTGAACGCCGAAATGGGGGACTGCCCCCAGCAATAAGTCGCCCAGCAGAGTCAGCCATGGCGAAACTGAAGCCCTCAAGGAGTCAAGGCACTTTGCAGAGTCACCGTTTCACCCGTTGTGTTGTGTGATCATTGTGAGCCGAGAGTGTTTAGCATATCTTGGCTGGTCCGTTGTCTCATCTTGCTCAAGCTTTGAAAAGCCTGCGCACGGCAAAAAACCAACGGCGGACACTGAACCATTCAGGTTCAGTAACCGGACGCAATGATAGAACTAATGAATTAAGTTGAACTAAGATGAATTAAGATGAATGAACAGCTTACGCGCAATAAAGAGGTTGCAACATTTTAACACATTACACCGCGATCAAGTTGCATCATGATAGGGAGTTTGGCTGATCGGGTTGAGTCAAGCCAACTCGAGGTGCTGCTTGGATCACCGAAGCAGATTCTCACTTCTCAAAGGGTTGTGCTGATACGATTTGACTTTGGATGATTTGCGATAGTTGGAAGGCAAGAGTAGCACTTTGTTGAATGCGAATATGGAATCAATTTGAATCTTGTATTCACTTTTTGTAACTTTTTCTGTAGCTCCATCACAGGAAGCATCAGCCGAGAAAGTGCCAGTGGAATTAGTGGACACGCCCGCAGCTTGGGGTGGTGCGACTCCGCGTCGGACGATGTCACACTTTATCGTTATGAATTGAATTATGGCATAGATATTGAGGTTAATAATCTTCTTACTTGGGTAAATTTATTTGATTCAATATCTATAGAATCTATATTTTGTTAGCTATAGGCCAGTGGCCATTTATATTAAGATTCATATTCGTGAAATTCGATAAGAAATAAATTCCATGATTTGCTGCTGGGCTATTAGATGCTAATATCCATTCAAATTCGATTTTATCGTTATCTAAATATAGTTTAGCATGTTCCTATATCACTATTATATAATTTATTCTCCTTTTTTTTTAGAACTGTCGTTGAGGATCCCAATCGACTTAAATTCTATTTTCTATTTAATTATGAATATATATATATATAATATTTTTTTATCAAATTCTAAATTATATATATCGAAATCTAAAATATACTAAATTATAAATAAAAAAACGATTGAAAATTAGTATATTCATATAAATTAAATATTACTATTATTATTAATAAAATACGTATTAATAGTATTATATATTTAATTCTAATATTATAATTATTATGAATATTATTATATTTAAGAAATTCAATATATACTAAATTCAATAGCATTAATAATATAGATATTAGATCATTATTCTAATTATCAAAAAAGAATATAAACTATATATCATACTATTAAAATTAGTATAAGATTATATGAATTTTCATAATATTCTTGTTATAAATATATCTATAAGTATATATTTATATAATTTCAG